GAGGGGTTGGTAGCAGAGTCAGGTTTTGTTGGTTTTTCGTTATTTTTTCCCCAAGAGGTAATGAAATATTTCAGCAACACATTCTGGGTTTTGTTGGTGTTTTTTTTTTACTTTAAGGGGCTTGTTTTGGAATTCAGACATTTGTTTTTTTCCTCCCGAAATTCATCAACATATTTCACATAACTGAGTGCATCCTTTGACTGTTAAGGAAGTTGACGATTATGAAGCAGTGACTTAAAAGCTCTGGATATTACATAGTGGTTTAGTAACAAAATCCCCATAGTTTTCACTAGTTTCTGATGTGATGGCAGCTTTTATTTAATTAATTCAGTAGAAAGATTTTATTCTCAAAAAAGGAGAGTTTTAACACAGAATCACCTAGCATGCTAAAAAGGAAAAAAAAAAAGAAACTTTTTCCTGAGATTATATTGAGTATTTTGGGTGGTGGTTGGGTAGTAACAATCTGGTAGAAAATGTTATCTGACTTGTATTTTAAAATGAAATTTAAATAATTGATATAATGAGGGAGAATATTCAGTTACAGAAATAATTGCTTGACACAGCTGTTAGTACAGAATTATTTAGTTCCAGTAAAAGGACTGCACCTTTAATCAGAGATTCTAATTTGATTTTTTAAATGTGTCTGTCATTTGTCTGACAACCAAAGTAACAAATGAATTCTGAATTGTATGAACTGGTCAACATGTGATCTGTGCCTGTTACTGCTGTGGTTTACTGTAGTGACTGATGGAAACAGGTAGATTAAACAGAAGCTCAAGCACTTGAAGTTACTGAATATGTTGTGCTAGTTTGGCCAACATTCATGTGATCTTGTGTTAACTAGCTGTTGCTCCCTGTTTTGAGGCCAAATGGGATTTTTTGATTGCAAAACTTTCTAGTGTGCTGTTATTTTCTGTATTCTATCATAAAACCTTTCACCTGGCGGGTCATTCAGACATAAGACCGTTCAGTTTGATCTCCTCTTGTAAGACTCTACCAGATAAGCTGGTAAAATATGGTAGGAGTTCTGTGAACCTGAGAAATGGTCAAGCAAACAAGTATTTTTCCCCTTTGGCTAGAACTGATCAAGTAAGGGAAACAGGGATAGAGGAGTGTTCTTTTCTACTTTTGAAGCACCTCTTAAAGGTTTTCACACAGTAAGAAGGAGGATATTGCACTTTGTTGGCTTTTTCATCAGCAGTCCAAAATAACAAGCAAAACAATGTAAAGGATTCAAAAAGATTTCTCAATGTACTTGCATTTTAAATAATGAAAGAAAAGAGGAAAAGATAACTTATGTTTAGTGGGTCTTTTTTCTAAACAGTTGTACATCTTTCTGTGTTTGTGTGCATATTTCTGTTTAATGAAAGATGTGAAAATATCAATTGCCATAAAGATCTTTTTACATTAAAGTGATTTTTAATCCTCCATTAAAGAAAAAAAAGCAGTAAATACTTTTTAAAACAAAATACAGAAATAGGATCTATAAAGAGGTTTGAATGATCATTATTATCCAAAGTATTAACTGATAGTAAGGTCTTCTGCGTTCATGTGAGCAAATGTGTAATGATCAAATTCAAAGTGTTGCTATTCATATAGGCCATAGTGATTCAAAATTCCCTTTCTTCATGTCCTCTTT